TCATTAATTTACAAATTTCATCAGAAGTCTCTAGACAAAGCTTTATAGGAAATGATTACTGTTAGCCTGATTTTCACATGTCTTGAAACTTATGATGGATATTGTATGTTTTCTCGTTTTGAATATTTATTAACTAATATTTAGGATACTAGTTGTTTCTAGTGAATGAGTTTCATTAGAAAACACACCATTTCAACATGAGAGTTGATCGAAATTAAAAACAACATGATCTGTTCGATAGAGAGAAAGATCTTCACACAATGATGGCTATGTCGGATATGCCACGGAATGGTCTAGATACAAACAAATACAACTCCAATGTTTTGGTTATATTCTACTAAGATAGGTTGTATCCATTATACTGTAGCATGCGTCTAGCAAAATAAGTCCAAAGATTCACAATACTTCTTTGAACTAAGGAAAAACTTCATACAGACTTCTTGCTAGGCATCTTTTCATGGAAGTTAAATGTTTTTTAGTGACACTCTAAAAAAATGTTTCAGTGCTCTAAGTGTATGAAAACTCAAGTCCAGGCATAATAATTCAAAAATAAGCCATACAACACTAGCGCTATATGGAAAACTATTTTCTCACTGCAACATTCTGTTGTTTTTTTTAAAGTGTAAAATGACTTGAAAGTAAAGTTTATCACTTAGCGATTGCAATCAAAACAATCACAATGAATACTTTAAAATACTTTAGATTTTGCATTGAACCTCATCTGCTCGAGAAACACATCTGTACTGTTAAAATTAATCATTATTAAATTTAAGTAGCTCAATTATTTATTGATTTCGTAACAATTTAAAAAGAGTTTAACGTTACTTGATAGTCTTGAAAACAATCTTTCAAACAGTAAAATCTTACCTTGATTCATCATTTTTCAAATTGTGCTGGTTACTTTTTTTGTGTTGAAATGCTTGCTATTAAAATGATTCATGAATCGAGCAAACAGTGCATTTTTATTACCTTTTCGTTTGATCATTATCAAAAAAGAAAAAAAAACAACAAAAGCACATGTGCGTTTCTTATCGAGTAGTCTATCACCATGCATATGCACATATACAGTATTTGACCAAAATTGTCTACACCCCCTTCTCCAACAAGTGCAATTATTTTGTATGATATTGAGTTAATATTTTAGATGTATATGTTCGACGAAAAACTCTGATCGTAAGCAGCAACTCGCTTTTCATTAGTTGACGGACACTGGCGTTATAAATCAAACATCATCTTCATCTTGAGACCATTATATCTCAGTCATCTTGGCACTTTTATTTTCGAGCAACCCTCATTCAAATACCGAATGTTGCAGCTATCTCCAGTACAGGCGAAGCTAGCAGACCAGAATTTGCCCGCTTAAGTGAACGTCTGTTCCGACAAATTTTTGAATAAATATTGTAATCGAAGAAACTTTTTTTGGAAAGTATTGAGTCTGTGGAAATCTTTTAAGTTATTTTCCATTTTTATGGAAGACTCAGTATCTCTGAAGGAAGCTCCCTACCCCAATCGACAACCCTGAAAATGACTGATTGATTGGTTGACAAAAAGTTAATACGTCATTTTTATGCGACTCAACAACACTTACGAGAACGTCTCAATCTTGCCGAATGCACAGAACTTTTTTTTAATATTCGGAAATAGCTCTAAACCAATCATTCCAGCAACTTAGAAAATAAGCCTCGACGAAACTTGTGTGTCAAACGGCAACTTTTTTTAAACTTTAATAGATATTTTTATTTGTAAAGAACACCTAAATATATCTGTTTGAACTCTTGTAATTACCGAATTCTAATCCAAGAACTATTCTGCAATTTTGGAATAGTTTCTAACATCTGAGACTGGATTAAAATGTATTGCAAATATGTGCCTTGTATGAAACCACTCTATTTTAAAGCAGAGCAAGATATACAATGCCTGACTTAAATCTCAATGTCAGTCCTTTATTTTCCCTTATCAATTCTTTCGTTCTTTTGGAAGGAACATATGATATAAAAAAAAATTGAGAATATGTTATATTTTAGCTGGCTTTAGTGCAAATCTTATGAATGCATTCTGAAATCTGAAAATAGTAAGTAAAGCATGATGATTTTTTATTCACTAAATGTTTGATATTTTTTAGTATCTGTGGGGACATTTGGGACTGTTGTATGGTCTTTTATTCCGCTGTATTATCGGCAATACTCTATGAATTTTTACTATTATAAATATTCAAGACAATTTATCATTCAATTTCTTATAACGCTTCTTGTTATTCCATACTTTATATTGAGTCTATGTCTTAATGCTGATAGTTCGGGCCATGCTGATCATACAACACATATTGGCGAGACAGTTATGGGTATTTTAGCAGCTATAGTTTTGTGTGATATGTCAGAATCTATCACAATTTAAGTGCCTAATGAAGACAGACGAATTCAATTAATGACATTGATTTCAATTATTGGATATTTTATTGTTACAGTGATGATCTTTTATTTATTTACATTGATTCATCTCAAATAATTAGAACTTCAATCATTGTCTTTCTTGCACATTGTTCAGATAGCTTTGTTTTTACTAAGTAGAATCATATTTTAGAAGAACTATTTTAAATTTTATGAAAACTTACGCTTACCGTTTGTAAATATGCACAACATCTAGAAGAAATAAAATAGTTTTATAATTCATAACATAAATGTCAAATATTTTGCAGCAAAAAGTGCTTAGAAGAATAAATATTTGAATCAACCATCGTTGAACTTCAAGAGTAGATATGATTGTAAATATTCTTTTTTTTTCTAGGGAGGAAAAATTTAAGCATGTCAAATGAGATGCCGTAATTTTTGAAAAAAAGATGAGCTTATATAATAGTGATTTTCAATCAAAAATCGACCTAACATATCTCTTATAGAAAACGAGCTTGTTCTTAACTAAATATTCAAGGATATTAACAGAAAATCATATCCTTTACCTAACTATATAAAATATAAATTCTATCGATTTCAATATTTAACGAAAAACAATACCAAAAAAAATCAATTCATATAATCAATGTAAAACTAATAAATATACCTATAGTTTGATTGATATTTATTTACTTGAATAAAAGTTTTAGGCAGAAGTATGTTTGAGTTTATTTAAGAATAAAATAAAATAAAATAACAAAGTAAAAGCAATTTTTTTTCTACATATCAACATAAATTTACAAGAGAAGCTCTGTAACCGACAAATAGTCTTCGAATCGTGACTATGCATATTCTGTAGACCTAAGTAAGCTCGTGATGTGTAATGTTTATGTAAATGTTGAAATACAAATTCTATCAAAATATGTTCTTTTGTTGCGATGTCTTTCAAGGCTTCAATATGCACTGACTACATTGGGTTGGTGGTCAATAAACTAAAACTGCATATCCCTAAAATGAATCATGAATATCGTAAAAAAGAGTTCGCATCCTTACGTCAGAAAAATGGGACATTTCATGATCACACTGCACTTCATTTTTAGCCTTATAAAAATACCACCAAACTAAATTAATAGAATTTCTCATTACTATTCTTGTAAAGAAATTTCATCGTGTATCTTTTACAAAAAATCAAGCTTATAGGATTGATCTGTATTGAGATATTTGAAAAATAGTAGATATTACAACCATTATGACTCACCCAATATTTATATGAAGGCATAAGAATGAAAACCGATTTGATCATGATCGAGCAACTTGTTGTACTTGAGAATAGGTCACTGAAGTCGAAAATAATATTGTTGTACTAAAAGAATTCGATAATAATGAAAATTCATCTGCAGATGCTGAGTAATCATATGATGAAGTAATGAAATAAATGAAGAAGAAAATGAACTGTCAGAAAAGTGAACATGTATTTTCGTTTTGGGAAAAGCATTCATATAGGTATGTTCCATTCCATCTTCGTCACAAACAAGCTAACATATACTTCGCGAAATTGATCGAATTTTAGAAACAGAAGACATCAAGTGAATCCTAAATTGCTTTATTCATTCGTCTTTTTATGGGATTCGAGATGATCTTTTTTCTTGCTGCCATTTATGAGAGAAACCAAACAATACATTTTTTCATATAAAATAAAAAATTTAAAATCTGTATTTCGACTGTGAAAGTATCTGCAGATTTCTTTTAGTTTCGGCCCGATTTTGATCGGATACTGATTACAGCAACCCGGGTCCAAGTATATGGCGGTCGGGTCTGGGTATAAAAAAAGTGCCAACCCGGGTTCGGATGCAAAAAGTTATACCCGTGCGTGACACTATAGTGGTCAGAAGGTCTCCCATATCGTCTTTTTTTTCATGAAAACTGCCGGTAATCAGTGGCTTTAATCAAAATCACCAGTTAATCGTGGTTGACCGATGCCCAACTGCGGTTAATCGACGGCCGAGATATAAACTGACGGTCAACTGTGGTTGAGAGTGGGGGTATTAGTATAGTCTGTCAACGCTTGTAATAATTCATCTTCACGTCCAGATACACACACTCTACACCCATACCCACACCCACATCCACATATATCTTGTATAACGCCATCATCGCTTGCTGACTCTGTTTATTCAACTGTTCGTCGATATGTGTCGTTTCGATCAAGAATTACGAGTAAAGGTTTCTGTTAGTACACGATTTCATCTGATAATGAACGATACTCTACACGTTTTTAATTCTCTATATCAAAACAATTAAACAAAAAGATTTTTTGTTTAGTTTCTTTTTCTTGTAATTTGATTATGAAAGTTACCGTAAAGTAGGATGAAATAATCTTAGATCTGAATAAAAACTAATTTTTAAATTCAAATATTATTTAAAACATTTGAATTCTCAAGTAATATTTATTTTATTTTGTCTTTAAACAACAACACAAAATTATTTAGCAGCCTATCCCTTCTTTATTGTGTATCTGAAAGTTCTCTTATCTTATCATTTTTTTTTTAAATTTTACAGCTATACAAGTAACACTTTCATATCATTTTCATTTATTCATTTACTAAAATAACAATGCGACAACAATATGGGTTCGTTTTTCTCCTACTATTATTTATCTCTAAATATCATGCGCAAAATCCAACGACAATATCTCCTCTCGAATGGAATGGTGACCCAAAGTTATGCACAGTTAATCCATCAGTTACACCTTCGACAATACCTGGACCACCACTACCTAAATTTCCAAACAAAGCTGAATTTGCCTTAGAGCGCGTCGAAATTAGGCATATGTCGAATATAACCTTGCCAAGCGAAATAACTATGTATCAATATATTTATGATTATGATGCTAATCAATTAATTATGGTTAAGAATAACAAGGGTTTTATTGACGTTGGATATTATTACTACGGTATAAAGAAGAAGTCAACTTATTATGGAGGAAATTTTTGTGTTGTGAGCGATATTCCAATAGAAAACGATATGGGTATATTTTCATTAAGATTTTAATGATTTTTCTAAAGTACTTATTTTTTTCTTATTTATTAGATGGTGCATCAGCAATAAAATTCCCAAATGGCACATCGCATATTCGTCCAATGAATGAATTTCTTTTATTTTCAAGTGCGAATCCAAATCGACCAGTTATACCAATATATCTTGGTCAAGATATAATACGTGGAATTCCAGTGGATAAGTGGCAAAGTTGTATTATCGACAAAACAAACTTACAAACAACACGACGCATATGGACGTTCGCTCAGCAAGGTGTTGTTATGCCGGGTAGTACAATAGAAAATTATGCCATTCCTGTCCAAGCATTAATTAGTGCTTCAGTTGTCTTTCCAAATGGCACACAAGCAGTTGAATTCGATGAAGTATTTAATATTCTTTCATTTCGGCCAGGTATTACGGAAACAGCAGATGCATTAGCACCACCAAAAGGTGTTTTTTGTGCTAGTGGTCCAGGTCAAACTTTAGTATCACTTACAGATGTTGGTGTTAGTTGGCCAAATCGTTTTTCTGTTCGTGTTGATACTTCAACATCACATTCTTCACGTTGGCAACGATTTCATTTACGTTATGATCAAGGTCGTGATGGTGGTTCAAGACGTATACGTTATGATTTTATGCCACCTGGTTCTGAAGATTTTCAATCGATCATTCATGATTATTCTGATAATGTAACCTATATTATTGATCAACGTGTTGGTAGCTGTAAAATCAATGCAGGTGTATACGTACCAGATGTTAGTTCTATTTCTGATCCAATACGATTTTTTGTTAAGCATGAAGCTTATTTTATATTTAATCCACCTAGAAATGCTTGGGAATATAATGGATTTCGATGTAAGAAAAAATACTGAAGATTTTTTTAAAAGTTTCTCTTTAATTTCTTTTTTTCGTTTCATCATTTCAGCATGTCGTGGCAATACTATTAAATGTACAATATTAACAACATCAGTAGATAACTTTCCTGCTATGGTTGATTTAGATACGGGTGTGCCGACAGGTGAAACATGGGCAGCCACCAATATTGAATATGGTTGGTCCATGCGTGCACCGTATGCTCGTCCGCCAAGCGATCGACCTAAACAATTTGATTATCCTGTAAGCTTATATTTAAAAATGTATCGATTTCGAGATCCAAATAATCCATCGCCATTGAATATTCTTACAGAAGATATTGAATATGAATTTTATGAAATGGCGCATGACTTGGAACTATCTGATTTCGATACGAGTATATGTTATCGCTCACTCAACCTAGACTATCTTCATCTTGGCTTCGTACTCAAGCCAAGCAATGACAGTCTAATAGATGGCAATCATTTGGACAGACGTGCTCTCGAAAGAAATGTGGCATTTGCTCTGGCGAATGGCATGCAGGTCACCATGAAGCACATTAGCAACATTGAACTCGATCACATTCGATTTGACAATAGTGTCTATGTTTTATTCACTCTTCTTGGTCCAGTGCCCTTATCAAACAACAACGAACCATCGACCGAAACATCTCGACAACGTCTCGAGATGACAATCAATGCGGGTCAATTCACGTTTAATATGACACTGCTAGGTTTTGACAGATCACTAGTATTTAGTGCACAGCCCAATTCTCTCAAAGTTTCCAAACAATTTATGTCGATTCATGCTAGTACGGTTTACGCCAATGTTTCAATTTGCAACGTTTCTAAGACCAATGTTTCCATTTGCAAAGCTCCTAATGTCAATAATTCTCACACTAATGGCCAACGAATTAAGCAAGAAAAATACACGTCAGCAGCTCAAGCCGGTGCTATTATCGGTGGGCTTATTGTCGGCATAGTGCTTGGCTTGTTTGCAATTGCTGCCGTTCAACTTCTAGACAAAAAATCAGCGCCTGTTGTTTCTTCCAACATTAGCGGTAGTTTTAAAAATGCCAACTCGGATAGGACGAAACCAGAAACACCTTTAACTATGCAAAATTTACAAGCTGCAGTGGATACATCCCATGCTTGATATATTTCATATAGATTTAACAAAAAAAATTGAACTTTTCCAAATATTGCTTTCTCATTTTATTCAGTTTTAATGTAGATCGTTTTCTTTTCATTTAAATAACATCCTTTATTGACTTTATCTAGCATCACTTGCTTATCACGATTTGACATACACTAAAACAAAGTGTATTGTACTGTAGATCATTATTGGTAGGGGTGCAAACTCTACCGCAAAAATGTATCATATTACAGATATACTGCAGTAGTCTATCGACCAAGCAATCACACTCCACTTTGCTTTGTGCGTTGAGTTACATATATGTGACTTAGTTAGACACATGGAAGTTATACAATATCTCAATTTGTCCTTGTTTGATGATCGATAATAGGCTACCTCGAAGTCAATTGATACAAATCATATTGCCTGGAGACGACTAAATCTCAAAATCTCACTGTTGTGGTCGCCAAGAAAAGAGGTTTCCTATCGGACTTGAATTGAAGAAGTATTAATTATCCGGTGTTTCAGAAAAAAAAGACGACATTTGCGACGAAGACCAGATAAGAATTATGCATTCAAAATGTGTCTTCAAGTCGCATAGACAAAAATATGGCAGAGTAAGACATAGGCAACACATCTTTTATTTTTTATCAACTTACAATGATAAAGATTTTACTTTATCACTATTACCTTCCAAAATAAGCATCACTATTTTTGCTAGCCATAGAAGATAAGGAGCAACTTAGTAATATGATAATAAAGTTCGATAGAGTACGCCGAACTAGATGAAAAATAGAGACAAACTTACTTTATTTCGTTCAATGATCAACGAAACTGAGATTTTTTTAGCTAAACTCGATTTTAATATCTATTTGCGCTTTGAAGCTACTCATAAGTGTCGATCTTTCATGGTACATTTAAATGCATAAATAAAAATATTTAGTTACTGTTCTAAAAAGGGTTTCGATAAGCATGTGATAAAAAAAAGAGTCATTCATTTGATCGCGTGATCTATAGTTTCAGCAATGACAGAATGATAACACTCTCTCTTGTAGAGAAAATATCGCCCATCATTTAGTTTATGAAATATCTTTATTGTGCAATTATTTTTAAAGAAAATACACTCAGCTATATAGAAAAATAAATCAAAAGCATTAGTTTTGGTGCTGTTGCCATGTCATTGAATTTTTTTTTTCACCGTTTGAAGAAACGTTTCAAAACAAAAACGCCACCAACTATACCAATCAAAACGCCTAAAACGATGAATCCAACCCAGAAACCAGTAATTAATGGACCTGAGCTCTTGTAAACTATGTCGATGCCTTGATCAAGATTTTGATTTTGTTGAGTTGTTGTGTCGAGACATTCATCAGGTTTTGGAGTTGTAACAAAAGTTTGATTAATACATTGACTAACATTTTGATCAGAACTCGTATAGATGACTTGAAGCGAATTGATTCGCGCTCGTAATATAGTAGTTTGGTTGGTGCCGTATTTCACTCGAAAACTCAGGCTATTCGCATCGATCACCGTACGAAGACGTTGGATAGATGTAGTGAGCGAATTTTCCTGCAAGGGAACTTCTACAGGTCCTGTACGTGGTGGTGCATCAAGTAAAGTAAAAGTAACTAAAATATCATCACCATCATTATCAACCATAAGATTTGAAATTCGAATTGGTCGTACAAATAATGTAAAAAGTAATGTTTCGAATATATGAAGACGTAAAAAATTTATCTGCTCAAGTACTGGATATGCGTTTTCATTTGCTATTTTAAATGATACAACACCAAAATTAAAACCTTCTAGAAAAATAGAAACAAAGATAGGCAATGAAATAATTAATGAATTATTTTGTATACAAAGAAAACTTTCATACCAGCTGGACCTAAAGCTCGATAACAATCAGATAATGTAAAATCAATTTCAAAAATTGTCATTGGTTGACGACGAAAATTGAAAATAGCTATAAATTAA